TCCATCCAGGACAGCCAGTGCCGCCTCGGCCTCCACACGCGGCCGCGGGACCACCTGTCCCGCAGGGCCGCGCGGGCGCGGGGCCACCTGCCTCGCGGGCCGCGGCTGCTCCAGCGCATCACTCGCCAGTACAGCCAGCGCCGCCTCGGCCTCCACACGCGGCCGCGAGACCACCTGTCCCGCAGGGCCGCGCGGGCGCGGAGCCACCTGCTCCACTGGCCTTGCCTGCTCCAGCGCCACTGCATTCCAGACACAGTCGACCTGGAGTGGGAGGGGGGACCCAGTGCCCCTACGAGGGGACTTGAGCCCCCGCTCGATGGTGACTGCCGCGCCGCGGCTGCCTGCAGCTGCTGCCGCCTCGCCGAGGAGGTGACGGGCCGCTTCGTCCTCCGCCTCCCACGCGTCCTCCTGGACCAGGTCGGGCGCGACGACGGTGCTGTTGCTCTTGCCCAGGCTCGCCATGGTGACGAGGTCAGTACGGTCCAGCTCGCATGCGCGCTGCGGCCCCGATGAGCGGGCTAGCGGCAAGGCGAGAAGCAATAGCGCGCATCCCCTCCAGGTCCGTCGGCATGTCGGGCGCGAGGTCAGCAGGCCACAGCTCGTCGAATTCGGCGCGCAGCGCCTCCTCGGATGCCTTGCCGATGGGGTCCTCGGCGCTGGGCACGGCCTGGGCGGCTGCTGCGCTTGCCGCGCCCACAGGGGGAGGAGCAGGGCGCTCCGTGGGCACCACCAGCTGCGGCAGCAACTCCTCCAGGAGCTTGGACACCGCCTCGGCGCGGTCGCCGAAGCCGCGCTCCCCGCACTTGGCCACCAGCGCTGCCTTGTTGATGCCGAACGTGTGGGTGACCGCCCCCGTCTCGCTGCCCCCGTCAGCGGCTGGGCCAGCCTGAGCAGCATCAGCAGCCACCAGCTCGTGCACCACGGCCTTGGCACGGCCGAGCTCGGTCTCGCACTGCTCCCGCTGGGTCTTGAGCTCCTCCAGGCGAAGCTGTGCTGCAGCGACGGCCTCCACCTGCTGCGCCAGTTTGTCACCTGCCTTGACCAGGGCAGCCTCCTTCCGCTTGACGTCCCGACGGGCGATCTGGAGCTTGGCGTCCGCGGGCTTGGCGTCGTGCAGCTTCTTCCGCAGCTCGTCCAACTCCTTCTGGAAGGAGTCGATGACGCCCTTGTAGATGCCATCCACGTCGTCACGGCCCTTGAGCAGCTTGATCTCGGCCGCCAGCTTGTCGGCGCGCTTCCGCAGCGCGGCGGCGCCTGCAGCTGGGGCCTCGACTGCTGAGCCGTCGGTCTCCATGTCGCCGTCCTGCGAGGACTTGCTGCGCAGCTCCTGCTCCAGCGCCGCGATCTTGTCCTCGTAGATCTTCTTGTACTTAGCCTCGGCACGAGTGTCTGCCACGCTGGGCGCGCGCGCCGAGGGGGCACCTCCACCAGCAGGTCGATTGCTGCCGAAACAGGCGCCCTTGTGCAACTTGCATTTTGTACACCGCATCGACGAACCTGGGTTCCACCAGCGCTCGCCTTTCGCAGTCTTGCAGGCGTCCTTGCAGCAGAACCAGTCGGGCTTGTCGCGCACGGTGCCGCTGCCGACTGGACCGCCGCGTGGCGTCCTGCTGCCGCCGCCGCTGCCCGCAGCCGAAGGGGGCCTCCTGGTCGCCATCCTGCACTGCTCCCTAGCGCCGCCGCGGCAATCAAGTAGATTAAGCGGATGGCGCTCCCCCAGGAGCTCACAGAAGGTCGGGAGGCTGGCCGCGGACTAGCGGTATCCTTTCTGCCTGGAGGCTTGCAGCCCCCCCAGTCAGACATCTTGAGCCAGAATGGCTACGGAGGAGGAGGAGGAGGAGGAAATCAGGGAGGAGGAGGAGGAGGAGGACGAGGAGGACGAGGAGGACGAGGAGGACGAGGAGGACGAGGAGGACGAGGAGGACGAGGAGGAGGAGGAGGAGAAGGAGAAGGGGGGAGGAGGAGGAAAATGAGGGGAGAGGAGGAGGAGGAGGAGGAGGAAGAGGCGGAGGAGGAAGGAGGAGGAGGAGGAGGAGGAGGAGGAGGGAGGAGGAGGAGGAGGAAATGAGGGGAGGAGGAGGAGGAGGAGGAGGAGGAGGAGGAGGAGGAGGAGGGAGGAAATGAGGAGGAGGAGGAGGAGGAGGAGGAGGAGGAGGAGGAGGAGGAGGAGGAGGAGGAGGAGGAGGAGGAGGAGGAGGACGAGGAGACGAGGAGGAGAAGGAGAGGAGGAGGAGGAGGAGGAGGAGGAGGAGGAGGAGGAGGAGGAGGAGGGGAAATGAGGGAGGAGGAGGAGGAGGAGTTGGAGGAGGAGGAGGACGAGGAGGAGGAGGAGGAGGAGGAGGAAATGAGGGGAGGAGGAGGAGGAGGAGGAGAGAGGAGGAGGAGGAGGAGGAGGAGGAGGACGAGGAGGAGGAGGAGGAGGAGGAGGAGGAGGAGGAGGAGGAGGAGGAGGGGGGGGAGGGCAGGATCACGGGGAGCATCGACAGCAGTGGCGGCGGCACGGATGTGCGGGGACTGATGGCCCGGCGAGTGCTGCGAGGAATTGGAAGGGAAGGGCTTGGAGGTGTAGACGGTGTGCGGGGGGGGAGTATCGCGGTCGAACGAGTAGACAGGAGGTGCGCCCGCCTCGAAGATCTCGCGGTCGAATTTCGGAGGAGGAGCGCCGGTATCGGGGACGAGTGCAAGCCGACTGCTGGACTGCTGGCGGGCGGAGCTCGGCGTCCGCAGGAGCGATGGCACACGGCCCCTCGGAGGCGAAATTCCGCTGCACGGGGGTCCGTGCCTCGTTTGTCTCGCTGGGCGTTGCCACGGCCTGGGACTCGAACGGCGCCCTCGCATCTCACGCAGCAGCAACAGGTCGAATTACAGGATTCGACAGAAGAAACATCTGGTGATCCGAAGCTCGAAGAACGGCGGCGATGAAAGGCTGCACCTACGCCCTGGCCCGTCCAAGGCGACTAGATTTGCATGGGGGGGCGAGGAGGAGCAGGAGAAGAGGGAGACAGACAATGGCGGGGGCGGAGAGGCGTTCCGGTGCAAGTTGAGAAGAAGGAGCGGGGAAGGTAGGAGGGCGAGGGGAGCGGGAAGGGGCAGAAAAGAGGGAGGAGGGAGACGAACGCGAGCAGAGAGAGGAGGAGGAGGAGGAGGAGAAGGATGAGGAGGAGGAGGAGGAGGAGGAGGAGGAGATAGGAGATAGGAGCAGGAGCCAGCCACCGACGAGCAGGAGGAGGATACAGGATGAGTCAGGAGGAGGAGGAGGAGGAGGAGGAGGAGGAGGAGGAGAAGGAGGGGGCGGATCCACGCCTCGCTCCGCCCCCGACCGAAATCTGTCCAAAGTCGGTGATTTCGAACTGCGCGCAGCCCTGGCCATGAGGGGACCTCCCACAGCTATCAAACAACAGACAGCAAGTTCGCTTCGAGCGACACTCCACCGTGCAAGTACAGCGCCAGTTTTTTTATGCTCGGCGCCGTATGCCTGTTCTTCTCGTGTGTCTCTTTCTCTTGCCTGCTCGAGTGGACAGCCGCTTAGTCCGTCGTGTTTATGCGTGAGTCGTGCAGGCTGTTGTATCTCTTTTGAGCTGAAGGGTCGTGTATACGTCTTGCATACATGTATGTAGTATGTCTTTGGTATTTGGCCTCTGCCCACTTCCCTGCATCCGTCGTTCGTGTCAGGTCATGGTGTCTGTCATGAGTGCCTGTCCTGTGTAAACATTATGCGTGTATGGCATCGCTCTGCCAATGTGAGCTGTCAGGATGTGTTGTGTGCCAGTGAATGCCTGCTCGCTCAACTGGTCTTGGCGAAGTGGTACGTATTTCACACACACACATTATTATCATGTAGTTGGTCTTTGTGCAGATCATGTGCGCCTTCCTTCAACATGTCGTCGTTCTATGGGCTTTCAAAGGTGTATCATTGGTGTATTTGTGTTCCAACATTGTCCTTTCCTTTCTCCCCAATTTCTGCACGTGTTGCTCCTGGCCATGCCATGCAACCGTGACCGTGACGTTTTTGATGCTTCTGGCATCGCAATCGTGCTCGTATCCGATTGCACTGCACGGTAAGTATGTTTTGTTTCGTACGTCATTTCGCTTGCCGTGGTTTCCAGCTTGTGTTCGGTATTCAAGTGTCGCGTTCGGTATGTAGTGTTCTGTGCGTCGCATCTTCACTGTCATGATTCGTCTCTCGCGTCTGAACCGGCACTGCCCTCATGCTGGTTGTCCGTAATGTTGTCTGTCGTGTGTTGCTTGTCTGTTGTTTGTGCGTGTCCTCCAGCGCATGCCCGGTGCATGTTGTATGTGTCCATGCCAATTCTTTGCATCCGCACTTGATGTGTCTGTCATCTGCGTCTGTCATCTGTAATCGAACTCGGTCTGTGAGTCCTGTCTGTTTTTTAGGTCTGCCGTCCTTCGTCGAGGACGCGAGGCGAAATCCCAGGGTTCTCAGGGACACTCGCGGCATGGACGCCGCGGTATGCGTGGCGATTCTTTCGGCATTCGTCGAGGACGTTTTGGACGCGAGGTGGGATTCCAAGGATTCTGCGGGACATTTGGGCACCTTGCGGCTGCGATATGCAGAGTGGGCGGGCGGATTGGGAGCTTAGCTGATCAGACTTGATCAATTCGTGAGATGGGGGAAAAACTTGCCATCCCCCTCCTCCCCTAGACCTCCGACGACATCTTCTCACAGCGCGGGCCTCCAGATGCCTAGACCACTTCCCCAGGACCGGTTTTTCACCCAGGTCACTTCCTGACGATCCTGGGGCCTGGACGGGGTCAGAGGGGGGCCGAAACTTGCACCTGACTTGGCTGCCGCGTCATGGGGGGGCGAGTAATTTTGGGTCAGCGAGTGCTGCAGAAAAGGAGCCCTTCAGGGCCCCAAAGGGGGCCTTTCGGGCCCGACAGTAGCACCTTTCTTCCCCCCCATCATGCGAACCCCAGGTGAACCTTCCGCCATTTTTTCTTACAACGCGAGGAAGTCTGGGCCTCCCAATCTGCGCCAGTCGAGACCGGGCACGTTTCCAACCTTGAGCCCGAGCTCGAGCAGGCTGCAGTTGCCGCCGAAGGGGTCGCACAAGTCGCCGCTGGCCAGCCCGAAGGACCGCCCCGTCTCCCGAGCGGGGGCGTGCGCTCAGACCTGTGTGCGGGAAGGAGGAGGCAGAGGAGGAGGAAAGGAGGGAGGAGGAGGAGGAGGAGGAGGAGGAGGAGGAAAGGAGGGAGGAGGAGGAGGAGGAGGACGAGGAGGACGAGGAGGAGGAGAAGAGGGAGGAGGAGGAGGAGGCGGAGGAGGAAGAGGAGGAGTAGGAGGAGGAAAAGGAGGAGGAGGAGGAGCAGGAGGAGCAGGAGGAGCAGGAGGAGGAGGAGGAGGACACGGAGGAGGACACGGAGGAGGAGGAGGAGGAAAAGGAAAAGGAGGAGGATGAGGAGGAGGAGGAGGAGGAGGAGGAGGCGGGAGGAAGAGGAGGAGAAAGAGGAGGCGGGGAGAGGAGGAGGAGGAGGAGGAGGAGCAGCAGCAGCAGCAGGAGCAGGAGCAGGAGCAGGAGCAGGAGCAGGAGCAGGAGGAGCAGGAGCAGGCGCCGATCGGCCCTCCTTCCCTGCACGCCTCCACCCCAATCCTGCTTCCCTCCCTCCTTCCCCAGAGATCCAACGTACTGAGAAAATCAGGACGGGTTTTTTTTCTCAGTTTTCGGCCTCCAGCAGCCCTCGCCGGGCCTCGGGACCGTCAAAAACGACTCAGGATGAACAACCAGTCCTGGGAAATGGGTCGAGACTTCCGGGGACCCCGTATTGAAAAAGGCAACGTTGGATCTTTGGGCTCTCTGAGGAGACTGGTATCCTGGGAGGCCCTCGTCGCCATCGCTGGATTCGCCTCGGGACGCACCCCAGGACAGAACGCGCCCCGGGACAGGTCCGGGGAGTAGCGGTACTGGTACCTTTTGGTCTCCTCATCCTCCCTTTAGTCGACGAGTAGCAAAGATGCACAAACAGAACCTGTCGTATAGTCGTGCGGATTTTTTTTATTTCCTCGCTGGGCACATCTGGCGGCGCCTCCAGCGTCGCCCCTGGCCCGCTCCGCGCGCCAGGGCGAAGGGTCAGCGCCGATCGAAGAAATCCGCAGGGGCCTTGGACAGTCTATGTTTATGTAGCTTAGCATTGTGAAAATGGCCCCTCCCCCCTCATCATCCTGCAGTCACTGGTAACTGCAAGGATTGCGTTGACGGTGCTTCCCGAGGTCTGTGGCCCAAGGCATAGCAAAGTGGAGAAGACCAAGAAACACTAGGGGTTGTAAGCTGTTTCTCAGTCCAGCAAACTGCCATATGTACCCGTAGCCCTGTTCGGCGCCGAGCGAGGGGGGAAATGAGAAGGAGATGGCTTTCTCAGAAGGTGGCGGGACTTCTCAGAAGCCCTCGCGCCCTCTGAGAATGTTGTTCTCGTTTTCGGTGAAGGCTTTTACAGCACTTCTCAGAGAAGGCCGGGGAGACTTCCGAGCCTTCTGAGAAGGCCTTCTCCTTCTCCCCCCCCTTTGCCCGCCGCCCGCCTGCGACCTCTCTGCCCGGCTGCTCGGTTTTCTCGTCTCTGCTGCCCCACGCGGGCGCGCCCCCCCCGGAAGGGGGGGGGGGGCGTGCGGGGGCCGCGCCCGGCGGGCACCCAGCACAGCGCACCAGCTTCCAGCCCGCGTGCTGGACTCGAGCGGCGCTCGGCCTCTGGGCCTGCAGGTGCCATCGGCCCTGACTGGTAGGTCGGCCATGCCAACGGTAGGGTACACGCCGGTCGTTGAAAGTGGGTATTCTTGGATTTCCAGATCCCAATCTGTTTCAAGCGCCCCACTATTTCAAGAATCGACACGCGTTTGCTGTGTTATGTTATTCTCTGGGGGGCCTGGACCCAATCAACTTAATCCGCCTTCCGACTTCATGTTCTCACCTACTTCTTCCGACCGACGTGTACCCCTCTGTCCTTTCTATCCCAACCTATGCAACCCGCATGTCCTTTGGTGTTCTAGGGCCACGTTGCCGTCGCAAGAGTCTTGCATGTCCTCGCGGGTGTCCTGTGCAATCAGGTCCGACCTGCAGGACGGAAGGAGTTGCTGGGGCCAGCCCGTTCACTGCCTCCAGCCTTGGCCAGTTTCCCCAGTGGCATCACTCATTATCCCAACTGGTTCGGGCTCGTGTTCGTGTCAGCCCCTTGTCAGCGTTTCTAGGCCTGACCTCTCCATTTTCATGGACTTCCGAACTTCACGTTTTCCAGCTTCTCTACAGCATGGCGGGGGCCTTGCAAGGCCATAAACAGCTCTACGCAGCGAGAGCGAGAGCGAGAGATAGATAGAGAGAGAGGGAGAGGGAGGGAGGAAGGGAGAGAGAGAGAGAGAGAAAAAAAAAAAAAAAAAAAAAAAAAAAAAAAAAAGAGAGATAGAGAGAGAGAGAGGCATGGTCGAAGTGTTGCAGCATCGGTGATGCGTACTGGGTTTACCCTGGTTATCCGTTTCGTCGTCCTCGTCCTTCGCCCCACCCGTTCCGCACACATTTTGATGCAGACGGTCTCGTCAATCTACAGCAATGAGCGGCGCCGCCGCTGGCGTGATCCGTTGTACTCCTCCTCGTCCTCCTCCTCCTCCTCCTCCTGCTTGAACCTGAGGAGCTCCAGGCCTCGGAGCAAATTAGCGAACACATGCCACATTCATCCGTCAACGCCTCCCCCTGCCCCCAAATGTTCAAAGTTGGTGGTGGGTCTGATGAGATGCACTTCGACCGCAGTCTCCCCCGCGCTTGCCAACATTGAGTTTTGTGGGGGCAGGGGGAGTGTTCAGTAATTGTTTCCCTCTACCGTCTCTCTGAGGTACTTATAAGGCTCGTGGGAATCGGGAGGGGGATCCAGGAATGGAGGAGAACGGGAGAACGTCGGGTGTTGCCAGAAGTGCCCCTGGCCCAAGGTGCCCCCAGGACTACCAAGGTGGCTCCCACGGCCTCCAGAGCACCCCTCACGAGGCCCGAGGGGTCCAAGGGCTCCAAGATGGAGCGAAAAGTTGGGGGCACCTTGGGCCAGGGGCACCTTTAGCCACCCCCGAGAAAGGATGGGGCCGAAAGAGTCAAGGAGGTGAGGGGCCAGGGCAGGGCAGGGGAGCTCGAAGGCATGTGGGGGTGGCCGGGCAAGGGCAGGGCAGGACGGGGGAAGGGGGAGGAGGAAGATGGGGG